CACGGGCATGTGTGTGTGTGTGTCGTCAGCCTTGACCTGTTGGTAGAACAGTCTTTTTGAAGATCGTAAATCACATCAGGTCACAGGTTCGAATCCCCCTCTGACCAGTTTGTCGGTAGTGAGGACTTTCCTCGAATAGTTAGACACATGAGCGTGCTTGGGCCTCGTATAATTGCTTATATACATATTAAAAACGATGATCCTTACTTATTAAATTTGTACCACTATATTTTTTTGGCAAATGAGATAGAAAAATTTGTTTAAACAATGTACTATTAAATATATTGGATGTTATACTTAAAAATTATCTATGTTTTTTTTTTTCTTAAAAATGATCATTTTTAGTGTTATATAGCACTCCCAATTAAATTCAATGAATAAAATAAAAAATGTATAGCTCTCATTAATCATATGAGATCCATTAACTAGAAAATTATATATGGATGAAAATTGCAGCATATAATTGCATTCTTAAGTTGCCATAAATATAAAGAAACGAGAGATTATGAAGTTTGAAGCCTACAAAATGGATGACAAGCCAAAGGAGAAAAGGAAGATGATGATGATGATGACAATGATGATATTGAGAATAGGAAATATTTTTTTAGAGAGAGAGAGAGAGAAATAATGTTGAATTAGTTTGAAATGTTATTGAGGTGTGGATATAGTTATATGTTAATTTTTCTGAATTTACATGTTGCTCATTTAAATGTATATGTTTCTTTGATGATGTTGTTGTGCATAAAAATGTAATACATGTAGTAAATATTTACAAACCCAAACAAACATCTCATTGAGATAGATCCAAGAATTATAATATCACTCAATTGTAATATCATTAATATAATAAACGATCAATAAAATAATACGTGTTTACACAAATTACACAAATTCTTCGACATTATTATCATTAATATTTGTTTTCAATAGTGTCATTGTAACAATGAATTCATTTATCATTTCTCAAAGCATTATTTTGAATGTCATGAATACTAACATAATTAACGACGTGTTGACACTTGATTCGATTCAATGTGATCACTCTAAATTCAACGTGCCATTAAATTTTATGTTACGGGAAAATATTACGTGTGGTTGTCCGCATTAGGACACGATCACGCTGTTGCAACCCATCTGAATGACTGTCCACATGCACGAATATTGTCCGCACGCATGTAATATTTTTTTCAAAAATTTAGAAGATTCACATGCTACATGAAATTCAGCGATTAAGGGAATTAAATGAGGGGATAAGAAACGTTCCCATATTTCAAGAACCGATTTATACTCTCAGCCTCCTAATTAATGCCTCTTCTTGCTACATAAAATAAGCTCTCCTCACACAAATACACCATCAATCTGGAGCCCAGTGAAGAAATTAGAAAAATAATAAAGAATGTGTGGGCTGTTCTTTAACCCTCTCCGCCTTCGCCGGTAAAATATTCAATTCATTTTTTTAAGAGTATCGAATTTTTTAAATAAATTCAATTGAGACTTTCAAGAAATTTTTTATGTATAACAAAATAATTTGATTAATATACCATGAAACTATTGTTTATTTAGGAATCTAACATCTAAATTTTGATATTTATCTATTTAATACCTTAATTTTTTAGTCGCATTAAAAATAAGCATTAATATATTTATATATATATATATATATATATATAAGATTTGATTGTTATGTAAATAGATGTTAATATTTTGATGTTAAAGATGTAACAATTACAATTGTGTGGGATGGATAATGGATGCAAATCCCCATTAAATTCCTTTAAAAAATTTTCCATTCTTAGAGTATCTTGTCACTAAGGTGGTAAACGAGCCAAGATTGACCGAGCTCAGGCTTGACTTGTGTTTAGCTTGTTTGAAGTGGACTAGTGTTTGAAAATTTATCGTGAACAGTGTGTTCATGTTCAGCTCGGTTTACATATTCTTAGTCAGGTTCGGCTCAGAATTAGGTCATTAAAATTAATTAAAAAAATAGATATAAAGTGTTTGATTTGAACATTCATCAATATACGATAGATAGAAGGTGCAAAACCACATGAACACACATAAATTAATATAACTTGAACTTAGGTATGAGCATATATATACTATATTATTATATAAAGAAAAAATAAAATCCCTTTATTTCGAGCTAAAACGAGCCTAACAACAAATGGCTGTTTATGTTCAGCTAATTTATGTTTCAAGCTTTAAAAATATTTCGTGCAGGACTCATTTACTTGACAAACAATTCTGACACAAGCTACTTAACATGTCATACTTGAAATATTCGCAAACAACAAGTTTTTATGATCCTAGTTGTCACTAAAGTTTATTTCTATGTCATATGATCCATAGACCCATACATTAAAGAATAATTTCATAATTAAGTTAGAATTTATTTGGTTTACTTGCAAATAAAAATATATTTTAAACAATAGTAGTTATGTTTTCAATTTATTTATGAAAAATTTTGAAAAGGTGTTTGATTTTTTAATAAACTTTTTATTTTCAATAGTGTTGGATCAAATAATAGAATAGCATAGTTATTATACTTACAGGCTTATCTCTAACATCAAGCAATTAAATGATGTACATCCATGTGTTGACATTTAATTTGGCTAGTTCAGTCATAACCATAACAATATAGTAAAACATAACGTGCACATTAGTCAAAAAAAAAAAAAAAAAAAAAAAAAAAACAATAAAACATGTTTTAATTATATAATTTAAAGAGTTATTAGTTGAATGTAAAATCTATGTAACAAACTACTTTCTGGCGTCTGGTTCAAATTAAAATGAATTTATGGACTGTTTGGTCAGCAGG